GCAATTTCTATTCTGAGCTCTTGTAGATCTTCTTTTGTGTACAGGCTGTGATCAGATGATCTGGGCTGCTGCTGCTCTGAGGTTTACTGCACTTTGTGGATTAACACAACTGAATTTAACAAGATGTGAGCAGGTGTTTCATGAGTTGTCCTGTTCCATCCTCTACAATGACACAGTTTATGCTGTCGTTATACTAAACAGTATGAAGGTGGAATTCAGTGAATGAATCCAAGTATAATCAGCTTACCTTCAAATTCATCTTTGCAATTCTTAATGTAACCTAACTCTGAAGACCACAGCCACTTTGCACCAATCTAACACAACGCTTTATTTTAAATCCATCACATTACTGCAAGCGAACCAGCTTATCCTGCACTAAACTCCATATTTTCATGCAACCTTTAAATAACACGGTGAGTCTGTGTCAGGTTTTTTTTTCCAGCACATTTTACAACATGAAAAAAATAACATAATATGTACAAACCTGATATTCAAATTTCCAGTTTATCAAACACCACCGAGCAGAGGTTAAATATAACCTCTCTTCTTCCTCTCCTGCCCTGTCTTTATCGCTCTCCATCTCTGAGTAAAATTAACATCTTCACAGCAGCTCTACCTTTCTTTAGCTAGCAGACACACAGTGTGACAAACTGCACACACAAACAGTTTGTGTGTTTACTGACATTTCTTGAGGTGACAAAAACGTTGCATTTGAAATTACCTGCTACTTAAAAAAATATCACTCCTTTTATGCTTCTCTTGGTCCTCTTCTGTAGTGCTAACTAGATGCTGAAGTACAGCAACTGCAACTTACGGACATGTGCACCCATTCCTGTGTTGTGCCGAAAAGTGGTTATCTGCCAAAAATTGATTTCCAATGTTTCGATGTGGTATTTTTTTATGTGTCATGTCTTTATAAGTAAATATTGGTCAATAGACTTTAGTGAACAGGATTTACAAAGGATTTACAAAGGGGTTATTTATAGAATTAAAAAAATACATGTTTTTCAAGTATCTTTAAGACTCTGGGTTACTGTATCTACATTGTAACCAATCCAGTCCATTTTGGAAGTATCTTTATAGAATTATTGTTATATTTGTTGCAATTCCTGCTGTCTTCTTGGCCAGATTACTCCTAAAAAGACATTTGTTAATGTGAATTAGACTTTTTAACTGGATAAATAAAGGATATATAAAAGTGACTTTGCCAAAAATTTATTGTGGCTTCTGCGTTGAGATAGGAATGTTGTTTGTGGCTCAAGATGACTTGATATCGTTCATGAGGGATACATTTGACATATGTTTTAGATATTATAAGCCAACAAGTTATTTATGGCAATTTAAATACAGGCAATCACTTTTTTAGCAAATACCGGAAATCAGTTTTTGGCAGGCAATCACCTTTTGGCATTTTAACCCCTGATTATGGTCTCTTTCGTCTCTTTTTATGTGACATATCGTTGGGAATAATACACCAGTAAGATTGCCTTTCATGTGTTGCTGTTGAGGCTCAAATTTTGAAAGTTTGATGTTTGAAGATGCGCACTGACATGAAAAAAAAAAAGAACTCCCCTCAAATGTCTTAAACCAAAAGTACCGAGTCTGTTTTGAAAGTGTGAGGAGTAGAAAGTACAGACATTTGGTTGAAAACATAGGTAGTAAAAGTAAGAAGTTGTTAGAAAAAAAATAATACTTATGTAAAGTACTTTTATCTGCAAAGGCTACATACTTACAGTAACAAAATATTTGTACTTTGTTACTTCACACCTCCACTTTGACTTGTGCAATTTGCTGTCATGGTGAGGCTAGATCATATGCCAGCTGACATAGGATGAGAGACAGGATACAGCCTGGACCGGTCACCAGTCTGTCAGAGGGACAGACAACAGTTCACTCTCTCATATGCATACATGTTTTCGGATTGCTTAGGGAAGCCAGAGGACCCAGGGAGAACATTTGATACCAACACTTTCTTTTTTTTTCTTTTTTTGCCTGTCCCGTTTGGCTCTTTTGCATCAGAATTATTGTCTAAAGGCAAAGAAAGATGCCCAACGGATTTACTTTACCAAACTGACCGTCCCAGCCTTGCCGTAATGGTCCATTTGATTCACCTTTTATTGTTTATTTTATTTTCACTTGCTGAATACGGGACAGACTTGACTGGGGAAACCAACACTTTCTTGCTGTAAGGTGACATTGGTAACCACAACACAACCCTGCAGCCTTTAGTATTAATTCCAAAAATCCAGTAGTGGTGGTGGTGGTAAAGATGGAAGCAGTTTTAATTAACAAGCAATGTAAAGCATATCAGAAATCTATATATTTTTAAGAACCCCACTAACATAGAAATAAAGTTTGGGATGCAAATTTTTATATTTACCATCCCATGATGGCTTTACATGAACTGGTAGTGTTTATATGGTTTATTTTATTTAACCTTGCTGTGTTTGGGAGTCTCGTATATCATGCATATCATAATAATAATAATAACAATAATAGTAATAATAATAATAATAATAATGGATTGCATTTATATAACGCTTTTCGAAACCCTCAAAGCGCTTTTACAATTCCACTATTCATTCACTCTTACATTCACACACTGGTGGAGGCAGCTACAGTTGTAGCCACAGCTGCCGGAATGAAACCGGGATGAACTATGAAACTATGCTTTGACAGCTTTTTAGTCAAAGTAAACTTTATTGTCATCTACGCTATATACAGTGACGAAGCTCCGGTTACATCAGTGCAAAAAACCTAACAAATATATATATAACTAAGGAATAAGAAAATAAATATACACTTAAGACTTAAGGTGATTTTAACTTTTATACCTATGTGTTACCCTAACATTATGGACAGCACACCCGCTTTTGCTGAGAATGAAACAGTGTGCTTTTCAGAGTTTCATTAAGACAGATAGTGACAGTTTCTATTTTCACTTCACTCACCATATGGCGCTCAACTCTCCGCTGATTACTTGCGTTATCTCGCACCACTTTAGTCGCAACCATTAGCTTACGGGGAGGGGTGTTCGTTCTTTCGTATCAATGTATCAACAACAAATAAACCTATTAACGAATTATTTTATGATGAAGGGATTTGAAACCTGTATCTGTTGAAAATAAAGTTGAAAAACATTAAGTTATTCAACCAAGTGAGTAATTACAAGTAAGTACCAACCCCTCCTCTGTGGTTTCGTCTTTTACCGGAAAGGTCCTTGTTTACAGCGCAGCTCTTGCTCCACGTTAGCATCGGTGATTTGACAAGAAGGAAACGGGATTTATTTATTTTTTTACTTTTAAAGCAGTTCGCAAAACTCGTTGAATCTGTGGTACACTTCGACTGGCATGGTTGTTTGGAGGCGGAAAAGCTACTGACAAGGGCAGCAATGACAAGCTTGCTAACGTAGTGCTAAGGTTAGCCTGCTAGGCAACTGACGCTAGCTAACTTGTCACTAAGTGGTGCATCCAGTTTACTGAAACAGGTACCGGTATGTCAACTTAACTCTATAACAAGTACTCGTTTCTGTTTTTTTACTGACAGGCACTCGCACTGCCACGTATCACGCCTGGCTTGCTTAGTTTATAACCTGAGTGGCTGCTCATAAAGAACGACCGCGGTCATGGGTGCGGAGAGCAGCGCGGTGCGGAGCTGCACCCTGGAGGAGCCGCTCCTGACTCTGCCCACCGGACCCACCATGTACTCGGCGGTGCTCCAGGATGGAAAGCCCGCTTCTGTGTTTGTTCACAAACGTGGCAATGAAGACAAAGTCAACAAAGCTGCCAAGGTGTGTAATTTCCAGATGTCGCTGCTCGCCTTTGCCGTCGCTCATGTGCATTATGCGTGGAAGTGTGCAGCCAGCACGCTGCCATGATCATGTTGGACACAAAGTACCGCTGCAGCGTTGAGACATTTTTACCAAACTTCTCTAGTCGGTTTTCTGTCTTTTCTAAAACTCTGTAGAAAAAAAGTTCTTTAAAAAAGCGAATTAATGCATCACGTGTGATTGTGTGTGAAGTTGAGCTGTACACACAAGTGTGTAATGTGGATGTAACATTTTAATTAAGAAAAAAAATTAACATGGTTTTGCTTAGTGGAAGAGCCCCCTCCAACTTCAGTATTCTCTGTTGTGACTAGAATTAAATAAGTGAAAGTATGAGTTTTGTGTCTTAACTGACGGGTAATTTTAAAATACTAATTATTTGCATTTCTTACACCTGCTTAATCATCCACACATTTCACCCAGCACCTGAAGACACTGCGACACCCACGTCTACTGCGCTTCCTGTCCTGCTCAGTGCAGAATGGTGGCATCCACCTGGTGACAGAGCCTGTGCAGCCCCTGCAGCTACTGCTAGACAGTCTCTCCCCAGAGGAAATTTGTGCAGGCATCTATGACCTCCTGCAGGCACTTGTTTTTCTGCATGAGAGGGTGAGTGTTTCTACAGTCTCTGCATGATTATATCAAAGCATGTGGAAAAACAAGGTAGATGGAGAAGGTGATTGACCCTTGGATGTCGTTCTGTTTGCATTAAACATGCATGCATATTCATGCAAGTTCCAAACTTGTCTTGCTCTTCCACCAGGGTAAGTCGAGCCACAACAACGTCTGTATTTCATCTGTATTTGTCAGTGATGATGGTCATTGGAAACTGGGAGGGATGGAGACTGTCTGCAAGTTCTCTGAAGCAACTCCTGAGGTAAGAAGTGCATTAAAGCCATGTGGGCAGTCATGTGAAAAAGAAAGTTTGAGAAGAATTCTTTACTGTCCTGTGGAAAAACTAAGTAAATATCATGATTCAGTAGCTTTCTCAGTCTTTTACATCATAGTGAAAGAATATTGACCCACTCTTTGTACAACTCTTTTTACAACATTGTTTCAGTTCATTGAGGTTTGCAGGCATTGGCTTAGGAGATGATGTCAAATTTCAATTGATTTAAGGTCTAGACTTTGTTTTTGTTTGTTTGTTTGTTTGTTTGACAACTACTTGAAGTTTTAGCTGTTGGATAGAATTGGTCTTTGGTACACAGAAAAGCTCATGGTTGACACAATGACAGCAAAGTGCCAAGGTCATGTGGTTGCAGAGCAAGCCAAAATCATCATCCCTCCACCACTGTGCTTAAAAGTTGGTTTGAGGTGTTTGTGCTGATGAGCTGTTTTTAATTTTTGCTTGATGCGATTCTGTGCATTATAGCTAACCATTTCCACTTTGATATCATGTAGCCAAAGCACATACCGTAAATCCCGGACTACAGAGCGCACCTGATTAAAAGCCGCATGCTCTAATTTTAGAAAGAACATAAATTTTGTACTTCTACAGGCCGCACTGGATTTTAAGCCGTATGCGTTTCACTTCTAATATGAGATATTTACACAGAAATATTACACGTGAGGATTAATCCGTAAGGAAACATAAACATGGTAACAAACAAAATACATACTGCAAATGCTTTCTTTCCTTGAACAGCGCCTGTAACGTGGCTACCTTTAAGTATTTTACGTACGTATCGGTAACACACAAATTACGTTGCTTATGGGCTTTTTTTACGGAACAGTGCACAAACAACATTACGTCTCTTAACAACCGGTAAAAATATATACAGTATATATATATTACTTATCAATTTTATTGGTCTACTGTTACCAGGCAAAATGTTTTTGGCTGAATGAAAAACAATATGCATTAGCCGCACGTCAGTATAAGCCACAGTGTTCACAGTGTGGGGGAAAAAGTAGCGACTTATGACCCGAAAACTACGGTAGTACTGGTTAAGCTGTTTTCTAATCGTACTGTCATAACATGCTAACTGATATTTGAGAAAACATTTTGTATGACTGTAATACCACAATTCAGTCCGTGTGTGTTCACTCAACTCAAAGATTTATCCAAACATTGAGCTATATTTCTTGCAATGTATATACAGTTCAGCAGTTTTAATGCACTTTTTTTTTAGACTGTTTGAAGACTCACTCTGTAAAATATCAGGTTTATGTTAAATTTTGGCTATTCCTAAACTCCTTAGTTCCTCACAAGCATCCAGAATGCAAGAGAGGCCAGCTATATTCCTCCAGAAGAGCAGGTAAGCAGGTTAAAGTTAATGATTGACAAGAAGCACTTCCCACTGTGTTGACAGGTTTTCAAGAAATGTTTTCTTGACAGGTGGAGGGTTTTAAAATCCTTCCTGATAAACATGCTCACTCTCGGGACTGTTACTCTTTTGGGATGATGGTGGAGTCTCTTATTCCCCTCCTTAATGGCTATGGTAAGGAGAGGTGACCTTGAATATCACATTTCATTTTTTCAGGTTTAACCTGCATGTACATTATCATATGCTTGCACTGTTGTTTTCAGTGTCACAGGAGCTTGCTGCCAGCCTGACAAAAACACTGCAGGCAGGCCTGCTGAACTCTGACCCCATGTCGCGGCCGCCACTCAGTTCCTTGCTCACCAATGACTTTTTCAGGTTTGATTTGTAGTTATCATTAAATACTCAGAATGATTTTTTTAAGCAAACATTATTTTTCTGTGAACAGGAATGACTTTCTGGAAGTGATGAATTTTCTGAACAGTCTCACCCTAAAGACAGAAGAAGAGAAGAATGAATTCTTTAAGTAAGAAATAATGTAGTGATCTTGTTACATGTTATATGTGGACTTTTTTCACAGATAGAATTTTCTTTAACTTGTATTATGGTGTATATATTCTCCTCACGTAGTGTTTTGGTTTTATGTTTTTTAGGTTTCTTCTAGACCGAGTCCAGAACCTCCCTGAAGAGTTGATAGCTACACGCCTTGCTCCCAAACTCCTTAACTCTCTCGTTTTTGCAGAACCCATGGCTGTAAAAAGCTTCCTGCCTCATCTTTTAAGGCCAAAGAAAGGTGAGATTGCATTTGAACAAAAATTGGCTTCTGATAACCAGATCTTCTAATCCCATTTTCTGAGAGAAAGCCAGAACTTAGTATTTGCCTGACAGGCACAAATGTTTTATGAAACTTTTTTTATTTCACCTTTGTGGACAGATAACAGTGGTGGTGGTAGCAGTGAAGATTGCCTGCTGTCTATGTCCCTTTACCGTAAGCATGTGATTCCTCAGCTTCTTCAACTCTACAAGGTCAATGAGGAACATGTCCGAATCGTGCTGCTGACCCACATCCACCTTTACGCTGAGTTTTTCTCCCACGATGAACTCAAAAACCAGATCCTACCTCAGGTGGGGTGTTACTTTAGAAGCAAACTTTTTTGTTGTTGTTCTTGTTGTCAAAAAAACCAAGACGGTTGAAGCTGAAATGTTCAGTATTTTGGAAAATGTTTAAACCAATAAACAAATTTTTTTTCTTTAGTCTTACTTAAGAAGCACCAGACGGGGAGATTGGGTAATAGCTTAATAGCAGGGTGAAACAGGCAACCCCAGAAATTGTAACCAATTTAATAATGATAATAATAATAATAATGTATACTTTAATGATCCCCGTGGGGAAATTCCTCTCTGCATTTAACCCATTCACTCAGTGCAGTGGACAGCCATTGGGCGCCCGGGGAGCAGTGTGTAGGGACGGTACCTTGCTCAGGGGTACCTCAGGGTAGCTGTTCAGGGGAATCGAACCCCCGACCTTCCAATCACAGGGCCACCACTTTTATCACACCAATTTTATCTAATGTCTAAAGCTTGAGAACAAAATTCAAATGAAACTATCTCTTAAGTATATTATCTTGTCTATTACTCTCTTTAGGTTTTGTTAGGAATGAGAGACACCAATGATTCTCTGGTTGCCATGACGCTGCAGAGTCTGGCGGTGTTGGTGCCCTTGCTCGGGGCTCAGGTGGTTGTTGGTGGAGAGAGAACCAAGGTCTTTAAACGCACCACACCTAACTTTACCAAGTCTACAGAAGTGACCCCTGAAAGTAAGCAACACTGTCTATAAATGTCAATGAAAGCACCTCTATCTAAATAATAACTAAACAGTGCAAGACAGCACAAGTCTTGTATTGCGATAACTAATTTATTAAAATTTTATGTCTAATTTTTTTGGATAAAGACACTTTTTGTAGTTATGCCTCTGCAAACCACTGCAGTGGATTTTAAATCAAACAGTCAGCTGCAGATTTTCAGCTTTTCCAAAAGTATTGCATAAACTGTTTCTGTAATTACTGGAATATTAAATGTCGACAATTTTCAGAGG